CTTAATTACCTAATAATTATGGAGAGATGCAAACATAAAGCCCGGGCTAATAAATTTATACCCGACTTTTCAAATGTTACGGAGTTCTTGCGATAACTCAAAATATGTCCTGGAGTTCTTATGATAACTTTTGTTTCTGCCAGTGTGTTTTGTGCTTAATCACGGCACGTTTAAGCGTATTTTTATTAGTCAATAAGTGTGTAAATCATTATGAAGCATAGTACGCTTATCATTTGCAAAATAATTGTGTTATATAACGTTGGTTTTGATCGTGTTTTTCAGTTCAAGAGATATTTTTCTTACCTCCGTTTCTTGTGGGTTTTTTGTGTGTTTGTTTTGGTCTTTGTGTGTGTGTGTGTGTTTTTAATTTTATTGGAATGACTGTAAACATACTTGATGTAGAGCATTTACTTACAGGATAAAAATACGCTTTGAATTTAATACTCAAGCATGATTTCGTCATATATACATTATTCCTGGCAGTTTTAGAGAACATTAAGTAACTATGCTATCGGTATGCATGTAAATGGTTATCAGCAAAATAGTAGGTAGTATGCACTACCCTTATCTAAATTTAATGAGGTGGGTGTCGTCTTTATGTAGTCAACGGATATTTCAATTTCTAAAAGGTATCAGTGTTTGTCATATATAGAAACGTATAAAGTGACAATGATATGACGATAGAAAGTAAGTCTTTAATAAGATATGTGAGTCACCGTAAGGTTCATGCCGTTTATCGACCTTGTTCCTTTCTCTATTAAATCCAATGTAGCATCACGTGACGTATAGCAATTTCCATATTTCGGAAAATTACTGCATACATTTTTCTTATCAAAGTTGGAGTCCTAGGGAATTTTGCAACAACTTTTGCTGTAATTGATTACAAAAATATATTGTCGAACTTCTTTCGCTCGAACACGTAGGGCACGTGCAAATCTGTCGAAGAGATCGGTAGTAATCGGTTGATTTTTTATTCATAAAAAGATCATACATTTCGGGTGCATGGGTGTGAAGGATATCCCGGTTATATACGTTAAATGGTATATAATGATACAATTTACTTAGCCGCTTCTTGAGGGAAGCCCAACTACTTATTGTCTGCTTGCTTAAAACAAGTTATCTGAGAAAAAAAGTGTAAGTTTTAAATAATTTTTCCTTGGCGGTTTAAGCCATGTTACTGCTGAATACAGGTGACCGCTGATTCAGGTTTTCCTGAAGAATTTTGTTTGTTTGTTTGTTTCATTTTACGCCTTTTCCCAACAGTATTTCAGTCATATGGGCGGGTAGTTTCCATCGTTCCTGGAGAGTTACACCAGTACTAGACTACCTCTTCGTGCTAAACTACCAAAGCATCTCCCGGGGATCGAACCCACGCCAGAGAGGTAACTGGATTAGAAGTCATCGACTCAAACCCCTCGACCACGGAGGTGTTCGTTCCTGAAGATATAACTTAGCACCTGTTTATCCTATTTAGACTGTACACCAAAGCAGTTTCATGTCTTCTCCAGATATATTCATTGATCGTGTTTTAATTTTGCCACATGGCCTCAATGTTGCATTTGCGGAAACTTATGACATTAAACTTTTGTTGACGAACAGTATACACAGAAACATTTAGTGCATTCGTTGGGTTTTATAATGTCAATATGATTTCGCACAAATTTAATTAGGAACTAAAACACGATCAAAACCAACGTTATATAACCAAATTTTTGTGCAAATGATAAGCGTACTATGCTTCATAATGATTTACACACTTATTGACTAATAAAATACGCTTAAACGTGCCGTAATTAAGCACAAGAAACACACTGGCAGTAACAAAAGTTATCATAAGAACTCCAGGACATATTTTGAGTTATCACAAGAACTCCGTAACATTTGAAAAATCGGGTATACATTTATTAGCCCGGGCTTTATGTTTGCAACTCTCTACTATAATTAGGTGATTATGTATAGCAACGAAGAAGATCACAAATGAAAAAGTCAATATGTACGAATTAGCAAGTAATTTGGAAATTTTTCTCAAAACTACCAGATTTTTTTTAAACGGCGACGAAATATGGACTAAAATATTTTTTTCGGAAACATAATACAATATGTAGGGCAAGCTTAATTATCAAAGTTTAATTTAGCACCTCAAACTCCCCATTTAAAGTTAAAAAATTACCATTTTTTACGCGAGTTCTCTAAGTATATAGAAAAGTTTTCCACAGAAATCCGTAACGTTTTCCTGGAACTCCGTGACAGTTATCATAAGAACTCCAAACAAGTTATCATAAGAACTCCATCCTTCGTGTAACACTTCCTCCCCCGTGAGAGTGTGGTTTTCCGATGTAAAACGTTTACTATGTTTATTCCGTGATACTGTGAATATAATGATAATAAATAAGTCACATTAACATTCACAAAAAAAATTCTATTTTGTCATTCAATAAATGTTTATTTCTATCATAGTTTCTTTCATTTTTTTCAAAGCATTTAGGCAATTCAGTTGAAAGTGTTTTCAATTGAAGTGTTTTCTGCATGTATTACGTACCGTATTTTTTTCTAATGGAAACACTTTGATTGACTATAATTTCTTTTCTAAACAACAAAAAACCTTTTCAATTTTGTTTTTTGTTTGTTATAAAGACTGATAGTTAAACATCACCTTATCAGAATATTTATTCACTAGAACACAATGCATGTGGCGTAGAACGCAATTTGCCATGCAACAAAAATTTGCTTTCTTTATTCTCCTTGTCAATTTTTATGAGAGAAGTACACCACTGGTTTCGTTGCAATTATTCTGGAAAAATCGTCAGCACACACGGACAAAATAGCATGATTAAATGCAAATCAGTGTGAATAAATCTAATGTCACGTTTTCAATTTTCAGGATCGGTAAATAATGAAGGCATTTATGCTTTCTTTTAAGCATGGTCATGTATACATAACAAATACAAATTAAATGTTTTATAGTTTGAATTTGTGTACCATTTAATTAATTCATATTTGTTCTCATATAATTTCAAATGAGATGGAAAAAGGAAAAAAAAAACACTATAAAACAAACTATAAATCACTTATCTACAAAGGTCGGTTTTGCAACATAATGGAAAGTGAAATGGTTTGTAAACATAACATTATTTGACAATGTATTCCAAGATATCAATATCTTTAACTGGATAGCACTGTCTAATGTCATGACGTTCGTACAAATTTGAAATTGTTTAAGCTATGGCACTGCTAAAAGTATAAGTACAAACGGGTGGGTACCTGACTCGATATCATTAACAAACGAGTAATGCGGGAAATTTAAAGTTCGAATACTTTAGCGACCGTATATTATGCAAACCTGTATATGACCAACATACGGTAATACTTACATTGGTAAGGTACGGAAATTTTGTTGTACAATGTATGTATTTAAACTTTTTACATGTCCGTATTTTATTAAAATAGATAATTCTGTACTTTAGCAAATACGAATTTCTGAATATGAAAAACAGGAAATCAGAAAGCGCTTCTTAAATACTACTTTCTTAACATTAAGAAATACGTATATACTGAAACTAAATGAGCATCATAAAAATCTATTTTAATCGTTATCAAACAGTATGTTTTATATGAGATTGTTATTTAAATGTGTTTGTGTTTACTTATTTAATTCTAATGTGGTGAAATATACACTTAAAAATGATGATAAACTTTGCATCAACCGAGTCCCCAAGAACGACCCCAGTTACTAATTGTTCTCCTCCCATCTCTTCACCGTCCAAACTCTTTAAATAACGTATAATGTTGGTATATATTACTCAATTCTCTCAAATGTTTTGCATGTTGTGGCTCTTATTTTGGTTTAAATGCATTTGGACTGTCTTTTAAAATACAAGTGCAACTTTGCATGAATAAACTATGAATTTATTTAAGAGTAAAAGTAATGACAGTTAATAATCATTTCATAATACTCATACTAGCTCTGGTTTTATTTAGATACATTTTCATGGTACTAGTCCAAGAAACATAGCCGCCAGGTGGCAGGATTATTCTGTCTCATAAGTATTTACTTTGTCACCGAGTCCACGCTGAGCTACTTGCTGATCTGATCATGAACCGGAACATCCAGTGCAGTAGCTCGTGGTTAAGGTAGTTTATCTGAACGAAACTGTTACACAACGTATGTTGATGCGACTCCTTGTGGCAAAAAATACAATCTGGAGCTGTGCCACGAAACAGAGCCTAAGTTGCCCGCGTGCCAAAGGCATTTAATGCAGTGACGATTTAAAATAAAAGATAATTAATAAGTGTTTTTAATTAATTAAACGCTAAACACTCTTTTGCTAGGCTAGAACGCACGCAAAATAAAAAATCATAATGTGCAAATAAAAATATCGTATAAATATAATTGTTTAACAATTAAGGCCCCGATCGTTCACTGATTTCATTGAATGATAACTAGACATGTAGTATTTATAAGGAATTAAATAAAAATGTCCTCACAAAATAAATTTTAACAATTCAATGCTGTATACAGTATAATGGCTATATAACAAATAAACGAGTTCGTCTTCATGCACACTTCTGAAAAGTTACAATGTACCGTGCCTTAGGCCAGATATCTTTAATTAGATAGCCAATACATTACGTCGACACCGCTTCCGGCGTATTCAATTTAAAAAAGATAGAATGGTAAAAACTTAAGCAATTCAATGATAAAATTATCTATTATATTTGAAATAGCAGCGTACGTAAAAAAATGACAATGTTTTACACATTAGAAAACCATGCATGTATCAGACAGATTTTATGGCAAAGGCTATAATAACTAGATGAAAATATGTGTATGTGTCCACACCACAAGCCTTATGAAATTTAATGAATACTGTATTATATTTAGAACAAATTTTTATTTTGGGCCCTAAACTGTTAGCGAACAATAGAGGTCAAACTAATGCAATTTAATTGGTATCAGGTGGAGAGGAGTGTGGGACTCAAAACATTTAGTGAATCATGTGCAAGGCATATGGATTTATTCATAGCATTAATGTATATGCGTATTTTAACCTAAATCAATATGATCTTAATATCTAATCTAATCAATACAATCACATTCATGTAAATCCTTACCAAGAGATGACACATATTTTCAAAGAGGGTTGTTTTACTTTTTTCGAAAATAAGTTTAACTCGTTTGTTGTATATTTTTCTTTTATTTCTTTTTGTCTCTATCTCTCTGTTTAATTTGATTTTGTTTTTTTATTTAAGTATCCTTTTTTGAACTCAGGGATCTTAGTGAACACGTTAATGTACCGAGTACTTTTGTGATTTAAATTAATTTGCTTTTATTTGTTGTGATTCAATGTTTGCTTTTATTTAACAAGCCCAATACTCCTCGTTGAATATCGTTCCATGATTACTAAGGTTAATATCCTTTAGCTGAAGGTAATTCTTTATCAAGTTTTAACAGCAATTCCTTTGCTTTTTTAACTGCATCCGAACTAGAATTTGCTAAAACTACATTATCTAACCCAGCCGTCCAGGTGTTGTGATAGTTCGAAATTTTTCGTTGATCGTTATCAATATAAACGTGCGGGATATTTAGAAGTGTTGACAGAATATGACCGTGAAGGCGATCAGTGATAACTACTCGACCTCTTTGTAGAAACATCATTCCAGTGGTTGTCAAAAGAAACGTATCTTCCATAGGCGAAACCCCTGGCGGAGAGTTCCACGTTAACCAATCAGAAACATGCATACGAAATCCTTTTGGTACTTCAGGTGTACTGTTATAAGTTGGAGATTCTTTATCGCTGCGCTTTATCCAAAGTATATCAAACGTTGGTTGCATGAAGCGAGGAACGAAACCAATCTGGTAGGCAATATCTGGTGATAATAACGAACGTACCTTAGGGAAGAGCTTCTTGCCAAGTTCAAAAGATACCTTATCTCGCCATAGAAACGTAAGACTCGGATGAGATGCATATATTTCTTGGCAGAACTTTATGTGAGAATCTGGTCCCATTACTAATATACTTTGTGGAAACATGACAATGTTGAACTGCATAAATCGTCTTATTTGCTTACCACGTGACGTGTCCGCCGAAGGGTAACCAATGACATTTCCGCCACCATGAAAAAGAATGACAAGATTTTTACTTGTATATTTTGTACTGATTGTATTAGCTCTGTCTAGCTCAGAGTCGGTACAAGCAATTTTACATGCAAACACAATTTCAAGATTGAGCTTTTTCAACAGCAATATTTCTCCAACAGTAATCGCCGCGTCACCTTTGTTTTCCGAGGAAGCATAATCGAACAGCATTACATATTTATACCCGCCCAACAGGGACTTGAAAATATTCATGTGAATTCTCTGAGCTTCATCAATCACATCTGACCTTTTTGTAAGCAATGGAGAAAGTTTATAAGTTTCTTCTGGATTGTTTGTTAGATCTATCGAGAAGAAGTCGTTGATGCTGAATGTTGCTGGCTTTGACAGATATAACTTATCCCGCAAAGATCTATAGCTATTATTATTTTCATCAGCATATTTTATGGTATATTTCGGTAGCGGAAGTCCCAGCTTCGTCTTAGGTATCTCGAAGAGTTGATACCCTGCAAGACCAAACAAAAGGATTGTAGCCAAGGTCGCGAACTGTCTTCTGTAGCTCATCACAGCTGAAACATAAAAATATAGTTTTATTCTAAATGGTACTATTCATATACCAGAACATGTACTTTAATATTTGTCCGAGACTTCATCAAATAAACTGATACAGCAAATAAACACCAACAACCGCAGAATCATAGAAATTGATGTAAGATTATGACAGAGCCGTGTCGTGACAAAACCAACATAATGCGTTTGCGACCAGCATGGATCCAGACCAGCCTGGTCATCCGCGCAGTCTGATCAGGACCCATGCTGTTAACGGATAATCCCTACTACAAGTAGAGAAACTGATAGGCTGGTCTGGATCCATGCTGGTCGCAAACGCATTATGTTGGTCTTGTCATGACACGGCTCATGTTACTTTGACTTCATCATAACTGAATTATAAGACGAAGTCTTCGTTCTATACATTATCTACATACATACATTTAGCTCCAAGCTAAACTTTATAAAATGTTTCGATATCTAACAGGTTTACGAATTTAATTTTGGTAGGTGATCACGTGACATTTGTCTACGGTAAAAATGGGTCACCGCTAATCGCCGCGACAACGATCTTAAAGGTATTTGCTAATTTTCTTTGTATCTTTCAATATTTGAATAATAGTTACATAACTTTTCTTTGCATCCGTTTTATTTTTCCCATTAAGATTGCAGAAAATTTTCTATGCCTATGCAGCAGTATTAAATAAAAATTTGCCGTTCCACTGTGCCATAGTTCTACATTGGGTACAATGTGCAATAGGAATTTGAGAATAGTTGCCCTAACATATGTATATATTTATCCTTCACATATAATAGGCACACATGTATACATATAAGTCTTAAGCGAGGCAAATTGCGGTGACCCAGTGTTACAATTAACAAATGTCAAATAATCAACCTTTTTTGTTTTCTGTAATGACCAATCGTACCAGTAACATCATAATATTATGTTGAATATTAAGATTTTGTTTAAAAGCTACGTATTTGAAATTCGATTGATTTGAAATTCGATTGTTTATTTAAATATCATGCCTACGTCACAATTATCAAGACCATGATGTCTTTGTTTATTCACTGACGTCAGTATGTATAAATCATAATACGTCACGTGAGATACGTTATACGGCGTCGCGAGAGAAAAGTTTACAAAATAGTTTATGCTATCACATGAAATACAGAGTTTCATAAATAAAATAAAATCTATATCAATCACTTAATCAAAGTATATCACTCAAAGTAGGGGATATATAGCTATGCAGACCTTTTTGGTGGAGGGGTGGGGGCGTGCGTATTTTTTATTCTTATTTATTTATTTATTTATTTATTTATTTTTGATCAATCCGTTCTTCGACATCCTTATGCAGCATATTTCTCGATTCAAATATAAATATTTCACTTAATGAGTGAAAAGTTAAACCACAAAAAGCTATAGGTTGGGATTACCTTAGCGAAGCAATCCCGGTGTCGTTGAATGTATTGGATTATCGTTAAGCAGCCGCCAATTGTTTATTTTTTTGTAAGTAAGGCATAACTTTTCCGTGCATATGAATTCATTATAATTAATGCAATTTAATTAATCTAACATTAATATGTGTGTTACTTCACAGATGATAATGTTTGATGTTTGACAACGTACGCCTTATTATTTCAAGTCTTATAAAATCTTATATAACATATGAAAAAATATGAACAATTCGTTAAAAGTAAAGACTCTTTAAAAGTGGGGGGAAAATTAATAACAAAAACGTTTAGAAATGTAAGCAATATCATATTACAAATTCTTGAACTCACTTTTCAATACCTTACTTGACTCTTTGTAGATTGGGTTGTTATCCAACTCTCGTAGTTTAGAAAATGCATAAATTGCAAGACCTTTCACACAAATGAAGAGTCCAATTATATTTACGATTGACGATGTTTTGGAACCTGTCATGTACAACAAACCAAGAACAGTTAGCCTTTTCAAAATGTTTCCAAATGCATGGCCAACAACGGAAAAATGGTAGAGTACAACTACTGTAGATATGTAGCTATAAATAGCATGAAATAAAGAAGATCCTACGAGAAGAAAGTATAATTTTGCGGTTCCTGAGGGTGCTTTCCCGATGTTCACAAGAACTATTCCTCCCAAGGCACAAGCAACGAAAATTGCTAATCCAATACGGAATTTGTTTATTTTGAAATTAGAATTCGATATATGATTCTTTTTCATGTAAACATTCCTCAGTGATAAACATATATTAGATATAAACGCCAGAACAGTTCCATGGGAAACATTTATCTTCCATGTATCATTTTCTTGTGCAAATAATATTGCACCAACAACAACAGCTGGAATACTGGTCCATTGTAGATATGATAATTTGATTTTAAGAATTAATTTTTGTAATAGAACACTGGTTATAGGTTCCATGAGTTTAACAGCAAATGTAGATGCTGCATATGTAACAGCCATGCTCCAGTTTGTTGCTAAAGTCGCGCATGCGTGAGCAGTAAAAATGACAAGCTTATGAACCATAATTCCTTTATTTGTATCACCCGTAAATGATGCTACTTGCATGTAGAAGAATACTTGTAGTACAGTTAAAACAATGACGTTGAATTCACTTCCATGAATAAACATTGTCGATTCTTTGAGAAATAGTTTCGCACAGAAATGGCATGCGAAAGATGTTAACGTCCAACTAATGAAAACGAACAGCATCATTTGGCTTTACCCCTCAAGCTATGAAAAGAAAAATGAAAAATTCAAGATTAGAATAAAATTTATAGTTAAAGTCAGCTTAACTTAACTATTTTAATTCATATTTGTTTTAAGACAATTTTATTTATATGTGCCAAACGCATTGTACATATTGTATGCCTTTTTTTCATCATTTCAAAACAGTCCTAAAACCATCGTGGTGTTCGGCATTTCATTAAAGTACTTATGTTTTGTTTTATTTCAGGCTAACTAGTGAGATAATGGGTTTTATCAGTATGATAAAATTCATATCACCCACAGTATAGCTCTGCCGGACTACTTTTGGCGTACGTTTTATTTTTTATGACTCCGCCAATTTGTAAATTTACATAGAAGTTTATATCTGTGTTGTAAATGGCATAAATTTAGATCCGAATGTCATTATTTCTCTTAAATTGGTAAAAGATTATCCGCCATAATGAATAAATCTCGAATTACTTTTCAGTGCGAAGCATTCGCGTAGCCGTTTAATGTCTGACGTCATTGTTTTTCCTTGTATCTTTTTTCTGAGCTACAACAGTCGTATATTGTTCATATTATACGTAATAGGCCAAAATTTGATTTGTTTTAATTTGTGAATTTGCGTAATATCACACATTCTGTGTGTAATATAAAGCATATTTACTCAAAAACAAACAAATAACCTCCATATATTTTGCAACGCGCACGAATCTTTTGTCTTTCTAGAACATAAACTTTTCGCAGTAAAATTCCCCTGATCATTATATAATCGTAGCTTGATATGTTCACAGTGATGAGTAGGCCAGATTGTAGAATTAAGACCACGCAACAAAAGGTGATTCAAGTAATTTGGCAATACGTTACTTTTTGGATACTATTAAAGTGCCCTAACATTAAAAAGATTTTGTGTAATAGAAATTAAAGCATTTATATGAGTGAGAATCGAACAGTATTACATGTACAATACAAGGTCGCTAAGTAAGAGAGGTTTCTCACACTGCGTGAATAAAGAGCATCGTGATTGAAACTAGGGGTGTCACGTTTATCCTTTTAAACGGGTACTGTCGGTTTTTAGCTAAAACCTTGTTAGAAAACTCAATAGCCAGTAACTGATGTTTGTGTATGACAAAGAGCCGATTTCTAGAAAAAAATCTAAACATTACCTATGCTTTTAATAACTCGCTATGCCATTCTATTCACAGACACTTGGGGTTTGGAGCTCAAAACGCCTTTAAAATCCAAATAAAATGCATATTTTTCAATCCCAGCACATGTTCTGATCATACATATCAAAAAAACTTAATATTAGCCGTTTTGAAAAAAAAATCATATTTCAACATCTATAATAATACACAAGATAAAAATGTTCGCCGGAAAAAATCCGCACCCCTACCGTCATAATCACCATGTATTTTATTCCATTTCCAATATTTTCACATAATCCTTTGGTCGATCGACACAGAAGATATAATTCTTCACGATTATGGTCAATTTTAAACTTCAACGGTAATATAAACAACGCAACAGCCGAAATAAATATCAAGATTATCGCCGTTTTCCTCCAACTACATGTACAAAATCTTTCGATAAATTCAATGGACCAGACGGCTATGAACGAAGCTATCCGATTATGTGGTTCCCAAACTTAAAAGCGCTTCGCATTTTGCACACGGCAAAGCTGGGGCCACATAATCGGATAGCTTCGTTCATAGCCGTCTGGTCCATTGAATTTATCGAAAGATTTTGTAGTTGGAGGAAAACGGCGATAATCTTGATGATTATTTCGGCTGTTGCGTTGTTTATATTACCGTTGAAGTTTAAAATTGACCATAATCTTGAAGAATTATATCTTCTGTGTCGATGGACCAAAGGATTATGTGAAAATATTGGAAATGGAATAAAATACATGGTGATTATGACGGTAGGGGTGCGGATTTTTTTCGGCGAACATTTTTATCTTGTGTATTATTATAGATGTTGAAATATGATTTTTTTTTCAAAACGGCTTATATTAAATTTTTTTGATATATATGATCAGTACATGTGCTGGGATTGACAAATATGCATTTTATTTGGATTTTAAAGGCGTTTTGAGCTCCAAACCCCAATTGTCTGTGATTCTATTTGTATTTCAATTTTTTTATCTTTTTGCATACTATCTGATCGTGTACGGTACTGTCCTTACGGAATGTAGTTATTTTATAATCGGACTTCTCCTGTTATCATTGCTGGGTACAACAAAATACAAACAAAAGCTAATTTTGGAAATCTAAGAATTTTACTACTACCGACGCTTATCTTTTAACATGTTCATTATGTTAAAAATTATACCTAGAAATAATAACGATTTATTTTAAAATCGCCTTCACTCATTATTTTACCATCTCAGTATATGGTTACATTTGCATAAAATTGTGATGATGCAAGGATCGGTATTTCTAATACGGTGAGTAACATGGTTCGAAAGATTCTGTATCAAATTGTTCTGAGACATGTTAGTTTATTCTTTTGATTGTTTTCACAAAAGAGCAGAAATAACTTGTAACAGTTATAAATTGATAGGCAACGCGTAAATATTAAAAAAAATACATGCTGCCACGGCGTTTTGTTTAAAAAAACGTTAAATAAGAACACTTTAATTTTCATGTCATGCCAAAATCGATTCTTTTTTTAATTTTTAAGACATTTAAGATAAAGATTGGAATATACTTACAACTGAAAAAAAACTCCTCACTTTAATTTCCAACACAATATTTTACCTTATAACCTTGAAATAACCCATGACTTTATATGACTTTATCATAAAATAGTAATTTAATTAAAAAGTAATGATGACAACATGTAATTATCGGCATACACACATAAAAAGCCTAAGGTCATTGCATATAATTGTTTAAACAAAACAATTATGAAAACGTCAAATTGTCCTTAAATAAAAAATTAAATCAAGATGTAGTCAAGCGTGAAAAGCATGGTTTACATAGGTTTTAATTGTGACAATTATTTCGTGCTTTAGAAAATTTAGGCCTTTTGATTTAAGCGACATATTTGATACATATTTTGACATAGGAGCTCGCGAACGGGACCGCATATTGTGGTGTATTTCTTCTATCCTGTACCAGTCTTACATATTGCGTGTCCGACCTTTATATAGCTTTTCATATTATCCGAGTAGATGGTCGTTAAAAATAAAAAAAATCAGCTCAATTTAATATGTTAGCTTAAAAATATATCAAATTTTATAGTCATCATTATATATATAATCATATTATAGTTTAAATATACGTCGGTCAGATTTGGCCAATTCTTAAAGTAGCAGATGTTATTAAATTGGTATTGTACGGGTATTCTTAGAGACCGTACAATCGGATATTGCGAAACGATATTTAGAATATGGGAGAAACAAATTTTTTAAAAGCCGTCACGAGCCGCAATCTGCGGTCCAATTCCCAAGTTTCTATGATATTTTTGAGACATGTTTTGAACATTTTTAAATGATAGCAAACATCCTTTTCTTATTTTACAAGGAGTAACAATCTGTTACGTACATAACAGAAAGTATCCACGCGATAATATATTTCTTTTATATTTTTCTTATTCAATTTAAGCAATCTTCTAGCGAAAAGTTATTCTTTTACAGATGCAAGAAAATACATACTATTCAAAAAAAAATCTGTATTAAGATATATAGTATTTCTGTATTTTTTACCAAAATTGTGATACACAAAAATATGATAGCATGTGACTGTGTAGCACAGCAAAGGGAGACCACTGCGTAGGAGTTTGATACCGAGTATACCACTATTTTGTGTAAATACGAAAATTGTGTATTCAACTTTTTTTGTGTAACTCAGTATATATTAATAAAACTCGACATCTATGAACATAAGACATTAACTTGTTGAATATTACTTTTGGCAACAATATTCTTGGACAATATTTTGAACGTATTTCATATTTTTGCCATGTTATAAGTGTAACAGTGATAGTCCGATTCTTTCATGTTTAAATGACATAATCTTAGATTCCTATCTTGATAAATGTAATTGCCTTATTCAATAGCTTAAAGGCACATTTTCCTCAGTAATGAATAAATTTGTACTTCTTTAGAAAGGGCATACATGAAATAAGTGGTTTCAGAGCATGTTAGGTGCTTGTAACCTGAAGAAAGTAGCGATAAATGCAAAAAAAAAAGTCATACATGTAGCAAAATGTAAACAAAGTAGTATTTTGACTTCCATACAAAACACTTATTTACAATTACTGTACTTATTGCCAAAAAATAAGATGAAAAGGATGGTAGCTGGTCAATGAGTAAACATTTTTGATACTTTAAAAGTACACCAACATTAAAAAGCTTCTGAAAAATAAAACTAAAAGCAATTCTAGACATAATAGGCCTTTAACAATTAACAATTAAAAGTATATACTTTCCTAGCAACTTAAAAGACAAGGTTCAATTATAAATTAATATCACGCGAAATGAAAGTTTGGGCATATTGTTTGCTCTATCAGGTCATTCTGGTTTCTAATTCTATTTTTGGATGAAAGGATACGAGAAGTCGTAATCTACGTGACCTTTTGAATTTTGTCAACGGCTTTATGGTAAAAATATAAATATTCGAATTTAAAAATCAATTTGGTGAAAACTGATCATTTTCACATTGATTTTGGAAAAAAAAGCCATCATCAAACGTCACAAAACAATGATGCTAGTATAATACCTTACATTCATATAGGAAATTGTGTCTAAAAGCCAATATGGTAAAAGCCTTTAGCTTACATAGTTCGGAGAGAGAAAATCCAGCCGAGCTATGTGACAGTACGTTTGTCGTCTGCAACTGGGTGACAGCAGAAGGCGCGTTCGATCGATGGCCGTGTTCATTTCAATGATTATCCAGGGCGCTGACATTTCCCCATAATAGATGCCTCATTGGGTGAAACTATCGTCCTTCGCAGCTTTATTGTTGCAATATGGAATAATAGAACAATAATGGAGTGTTCTTATTAAGTAAATAATATTG